CGGGTGCAGAAGCTAGACGGAAAGAGCGAGGGGAAAAATTTAGAAAACGAGCGTGAAGTTTTACCACGTGAACGCAAGAAATAGCGGATGAAAGGTGCAAAAATCAGCAAAAAATGTAATAAAATTAGCTACGGCAGGTTAAATTGTGCAGAAGGCAAACAATTAGTTCCAGAAACGTTAGATTTAGCATTAAAACCCTGGAAAATACATGCTTTTGCAAGCGGGGCCATAAAGAGGGTATTTTTTTTCTGAACATGGCACAGGGTGGGGGAAGGGAAGGGGGTGAGGGGAGAGGCTGAGGAGCCCGCTTTTCATTTTGAGGGAGATGCACTCGCTTCTGCGGCTACTTACGACAAGTACGACTGTTTTTTCGAGGCTTGAATACACATCACCAGTTTGTGGTTGTGGCAAGTTCGGAAGGCTGAGGTTGCAACTGTTAAAATTTCAGGCGAAGAACTGAACCAAAAAAGCAGAAAGTGAGCTGAAAAGTGCGAAATCGCATCAAAAAGCTTCTACTCCTACACCAAGCCGTTAAAAGGGAAAGACACAGAAAATTTTGTATTGTTTATAGACTTCCTCCTGCGTATTCACGGATTTTTGCAGTCTCTGCACTGGAACAGAGATGGCATCGAGCAAGAAACATATCTGTTGATGAAAGCTGCTTTTTTGTAGAGCAGTTAGCCTGAGCTAGGGTGCTTCTGTGGAAAATGGAGGAAGCTGCTAGTTCTGTCTGCGCTTCCGGAATGCTGAAACGGTAAAAAATGCGGATATGCGTAAGAACTTCAGGACCGCACGTGAGCTTACCTAATCTTACTAATCAAGGATGAGCTCTTGAGGAAGATCCCAAAATCTAGCATCCTTGAAATTCACTGACTTATAAAATTAGGGAGCGTAGGATTATACTTATATTTCATCATGCGTTTTTGCATATATGCAGCATATTGTAACAACCTCGATGTATGTGTGTGTGTACATGTGTGCGTGTGTGTCTCTACGTCCGTCAGGGTGTTTCAATTCGGTACCTAAGCAAGCTCTGCGCCAAAATTTTGCCAATGGGTCCCCCGCCCAAGTACCACCCAGGACTACTATACCAACGCTCACGTATGTCTAAGCCGCGCATACGGACGCGTAAAAGTTTGGCGGAAAAATCACAAACTCGGGAGCCAGAAAAGCTAGTAAGCTGAAATTTTGCGGTTGTGTCCCCCATCCACACAGAATTCAAGGATTTCAAATTCAGCCCCCAGGTACACGTGGTTTTCATCAACAGCCCGCAAAGGCCCCTGACGGGAAAGTGGCTAATTCCGGAACCAGCAAGCTGGGAAGCTGAAATTTTCAGGGAATGTTCCCAGCACATGTACAACTTAAATTTATCAAATTCACTCCTCAGGCATGCGTATTTCTAACGTATGACCCCATGAAATTTTTCGGCGGGAAAATGGCTAATTCGGGAACCAGGAAAGCTGGGGGCTAAAATTTGAGGTTTATGTTTCCAGCTCTCCGTAAAAGTTAAAGATATCGAATTCAGCTCTGAAATACGTATGGCTGTCAAGTACAATCCCGACAAAGTTTTGACAGGAAAATTGCTAACTCAAGGACCAGAAAAGTTGGGAAGTTGGAATTTTAACGGAATGTTACCTGTCCAAGTAACGAGTAGACAATTAACTTCCCGAAATTCAAGGACCAATATGTTACACATTCTAGCTACTGGATTTCGGAGCGATCTCGCTGCAGCACAAAAGGCTGCAAAAACGCGTGATAGCACGGGCTCGCCTTGTGCGCGTTACCAGTGATTTCTATCTGCTTTGTACTGCAAAACGGTGCAAAATACATATTGCTCAGGGCGCACATTTGTGTGTGTATGTGTGTGTGTGTGTGTGTGTGTCTGTTCGGATTTTTGCCTGAGGATTTCAACTCCACAGCCACAGAATTTATGAAGCTGAAATTCTTGGATCTCCTCTGTCTATATGCGATCAAAAGATTTCAAGTTCAGCTCCTAAGCACTCCTAAGTCTCGCGTACGAACACGTAAAAGTTTTGTGTTGTGTAAATGCACTATTTGCACTATTTTAACATTATTTATTTATCACTGTTTTAGAGGCACTTCTTCCTTTTTAAGTTCCCCATCAAGCATTTTTGCTTTTTGCTATTTT